TCCTATCTTGAGTTATTACGAAGTTAGCTCACCTAACAACATCTTATACTGACCATATTAATATTAAAAATCTTGCATGTTTTAAATAAATAAATTGACTTGGCAATCGCATAAAAACACAATGTATCTCACATATTATATTAAAATAGATTGTTGAGTGCGATTGTACGGCCGTGCCGCTGTTTTTGCTCGACTTGGCGGAAGCACTGCCATGACCCCAGATAGGCTGTCATAGTCGCCCAGCGACTAAAGACTTTAAAACAGATTAAATAAAAAAGTTCAGTCCTCCGTGTTTCGAAAGGCATGTTAAGCCGTCTCGATCCCAGCTGCATCTGCAGTTGTAAACACGCATAAAGGAGATTGCTCAGCTTCCATACATGTTTGGCCTAAAGACCAATAATCATGAAAAATTGTTTCCTAGATTCGAAATTGTATATAAATTACTGTAGAAACTAATATTATTGACGGACACCCCTAAGAACTTCTATAAACCATTTACCCTGAACGATTTTGAGGTTATGTTTGCAAATAGGTACAAAGGTATTAAAATAATAAAAAACAAATAAGTTATATAGTAAACTAGGGAAATCAAGCCAAGTACCGGAATTATGTATTAGATTCAGGTATATAGAGCATGTAGATTAACAGGCAGTTGCCTGTTTTTAAAGTTAATGCACAAGAGTAACTTTTAAAATCAGGTATCATCTATGCATTTCCGGTTATAATAAGGAAGGTAGTCTGTGACAGAAACTGTGTGATGATTGTGAATGAGTCACAGATTTGAGAGATTTTTTAAACTCTCGATAACCAAAGAAATCTAAGAGTTTTAGGTTATACAGCCATATCTTCAGTAGCTTCATTTCATTATTTTTGTTATGTTTACATTATAACCATATTTTAGATTTTTAGTGTATCACACCTTATAATGTGTTTATGGAGGTGTTTGGCGAAAAATGTATGACAATAGATTTTATGATGTCGCCTACCATCTACAATAATAATTGTTTAGTTAGCACATTTGCTAAGACAATTAGGACAAATAGGACAATTCAAGACACTCATAGTATAGTACCAGTCCCAAAAAAGGATAAGGGTAATTGTGGTTCGGTAAAAGATCTCCTTAAAGAAATTTATGTTTCGTTGGCCCAATCTATATTGACATATTGCATACCTGTATGGGGTGGCGCAGCCAAAACGCGTTTTATTGATGTTGAGCGCGCTCAGCGAAGTCTCATTAAGGTCATGTATTTTAAAAAAAGGCGATTTTCTACTGAGTGCCTCTACAAAATTAGTAATTTATTATCTGTAAGAAAGCTGTACATAGTTCATATTATTCTTAAAAAAACACAAGTCTCTAACGTATGACCCTGAGATTTTAAAAAAGAGAAGGAAGGACATTATTATTCGTGCTCCTAGAACCAACACTTTATTTGCTAGCAGTCAGTTCAATAGTCGATCTATACACATATACAACACAATTAATAAATATATTTATGTATATGATAAAATTTATTATCAATGCAAAGATGACTGATAAAATGGTTAACAGCTAAAACATATGATGAAATCGAGATACTATTAAGCAGAAACTAGTATTCTTGCACACACTAAGACACATATGCACGCACACACATGCATACAAAATACAAACACTCACTCCCACATTTAAAGTTACGTAGGCATAAACACCAAACGTCTGAACTAATTAGATCTTGGTCATGATTTGTTTAGATTTTATTGGATTGTTATACTTATGTATTTTAAGGAAGAGCTGTATCTCCTGACACAGGCTATTTAAGCTTAAAAGGAGATGCAGGTCATTAGTTTAAGATCACATTATTGTTGATTTAGTTTAAGATTACAGTATTTTAAACATTATTGCTAACAAATTTGATAGTCCTCTTATGTGGAAATTTATCCAGAGGACAAAATCACTTTTAGAAATTAAGTACTAACATAATTTAAGTATCTACTAACATATTTTGATCATGTTGTCCTTATTTGAACATTAAATAAATTCACTTGAATTCTTTGACATTTAAGTACATTAAATTATAATACACGATATTTTAAATTATGTGACTTTAAATGTAGAATATTAATTAATTACATAAATTCATTTTGTTTGACATTAGGTTTAGATTACTTTTTATATTATATATAATACAATTTCAGTATTTAAAAAAAAACACACATCGATTGAATCCCAGAAATAATATATACTAACATAGCATTTAAGTTAAATAATGTTACCAACGATTTGATGGACCATTTTGTTGTCTGTAATAAACAATTTGAATTGAATTGAATTGTTCAAGCCAATTAAAAAAAAATATTATTATTATTATTTGCATGTAGTGAAAATGATAATATAGTTGTGGATATTAATACCACAGTGTAATAAAAAAATGTACAGATATTATAATTTATAATTATGTATTTGGCGCAAATAAATAAAAAATTTAAGAGTCACATACAATATAGTGGCCGTGAATAATTATTTTTGGGGTCGCATGAATAATTTATGACAAAAGTAATATTTTGTAAACAAGGTAAGTATGCAGTAAAAAAGGTGTACAGCAAGAATTAGCATAATACAAATTTGTGACAAAAGGAAAAGATACATTAATTGCTGTCTTTGTAAGTGTTTTAAATCAGTTCGTTTACGAGTTGGTCCTGGGTAGGACTGGATTTAAAGGAAGGCTGTGGTCCAGCGGCACCCACAAATATTGGAGATAAACAACGGAACTCCTCAATGAACATAGGTAGGCATAATACGAAAAAAGGTAAACTTAAAATATCAAAAACCCGGCTGCTTCAATGTTACTTCAAATAAAAACTGCAAAGAAAAAAACAAGAACAGTAGACTATAATTCAGTTAATTATGGAACAAAGCTACTTTAACAGTCGGGACCCATTAAATATCCAAGAATGATTTTTTTTTTCATTATAATCAGTATATTGTAATTGAAACTGGGTTTTAAAATGTTTTAGACTTTCTTTTAAAATAGACTCGGCTTCAATGGGGGAGGAGCTCAAAGATTTGGTAATTGAAACTAGAATGTCAGTAAAAAAAATCAAATTCTTTGTAGATTATATTAATCTATATTTCTAGGATTAGACTTTCCAATTTCACCATTAATAATTTTCCGGGTCATTTAAATTTTGTCATTACTATTTTGAATTTTGAGCTCAAATATTCAGATTTGGCTATTTGACAAGCTTTGTGAATTAATATTGAGTAACTCTGTTCATATTGTTTAAAATCTTCAATAGTGTTATAATTTAGTTCTGCGTCAAGTTCATAAAGTCTGAAGTAGCCCTCTAGTTACACACTGTTATACTTAATACCAATAATAAAAAACCCCGAATCACTATATCTCTTAAGAAAATTATTCCTAGTATTTGTAGCCCGAATGCACGCTATCCCTAATAACTTAAAACCTATAACACTGTATACCTAATATTTAAATTCCGAATGAACGATATCCCCACAACTTTTGGTTACTGGAGAGTTTACGTAACATTCCTTCTCAATGTCTGACGCGCTTTTTCCCTACTGAAGCAGTGTGCAGAATTAAAACAATCAAACTTATTAATTGCGCAGTGTTTTGTCTTCGCAATTACATCGTAGTAAGAGACAAAATATCATCATACACGACCTTATACAGATTCAGCCCCACCAAACGTCCGGTGGAAGGGTTTTATATCATGGCTGCATACACTAATATGGACATCTAGGCTGTATGCGCGGCTGGCTGTATAGATGGCTGGCTGTATGGGCGGCTGGCTGTATGGGTAGCTTCGCTTGGATTGGCTTGCCGACTACAGCGAACTGCTCTAATTGGCGTCGTGTTACACTATATTCCACCCTTTTGTACGACCACCCACCCCCACACCATGCAAACCATCAAATTAATATTTCTTTCCTTTATCAGAAACATTGTTACCTTATCGTCCTAGTAGCTTCTTTTCAAAAGACCGCCGCAAAAGTAATAACAGCATGAAGTTTTTTTTTTCCACATCCAACATCCATTGGAAGGGGGATCTTGGATGTATCTCGTTTCATCCAACATCCATTGGAAGAAATCATCCAACATCCATAAGGATGATGACTATTTTTTTTTCTTCGTTTATCAGGTAAATTTTCAAAAAGTATTGGACACGTATTTTTTCTTTTTTCACATAATATAAACATTGCAGAGATATATTGATTTGAAAAGTCGCATGACGTCACGTTTTGGTACAATTTTCACCTAAAAGTGACGTCACGAGCCCCTACTCCCAAACTTTGACGCGCTATAACTTTGTCATTTTTTGGTTGATTGCCCAAAGAAAAAATACGTGTCCATTATTTTTTGATCACCTAACTGACGGACTTAATAGAATTTCGTTTACTGTACCCCGTTATCACCCCTATTGGAAGGGATGTTGGATGAGTCTCTTTCCATCCAACATCCTTTGGAAGGGATGTTGGATGAATAGAGATAACGGGGGAGGGGAGGGAGAGAACATGAGAAGGAGTGACACAGTAGTGGATGCATTAATAGGCTGATGATGAGGTACAAATCTTTGCGCACAATAGGGTTCTTTGGCGGGATCGGGAAGCGTCACTTTAGCAGTTTTGTTTTTCTTATTAAAAATTGTGATGTGGCGGATGTTAGTGTCTAATAATGGTGGATTATTAACCACTAAGTGTTCGGGAACAAGCACAAGTGTTGGCAAGTGAAACAAAATAGCGGAAAGTGTCTTTCGACGTTCCCTCAAGAAGTCCACGGGGAGGTTCCAGTAAATCCCCACACTTTTACTGAAACATGGGGAAAGGGGGATTGACTTGACTGCCACTTACTTTGACTTGACTTATTACTTTGACCACGAGTGCTATAGTATTTGTATACTACATTTAACACTTGACATTGGCTAAATGCACAAGCCATGCGAAGCCATTTAGAAAAAAAGGGTTCCTTACAAATCATTTAAGCAAAAAAAAACAAGTCGCGAAATCTCAAATAAGTGTCATTTAATTAAAATAAAATCGAAATAAGACTAGAAATATTGACAAAGTTAGAAAAGAAAGCATTAAGATCATTTTTACATTAAAACATTACAAATAAATTATAAACAGTTATAATAATATAATTATCATTAATAGCTAAACACATTGTACACTTTCACCGGTAATCATTTTTTTAATCTCCACAATGGCCGCAATGTTTTGTATTGCACAAATTATAAGGTATAATAATTTTATGACAAACGCAAAAAGTTAAAAATTCATTATGCTCATAAACATTTTTAAGTATGAGTAAATGACGTATGTTAACAATGAATACACCAGAAATTGCAGCATCTTATCAGCATAATACAATCTGAAAAGAAAAAGAAAACACATATAAAGTTAATTGTCGAAATCTTATTATCACACGCAGAACACATTGGTGTCAATTCTGACACGATTCTCTAAACCTTAACTTCAATGTGACAAAAGTGTGTCCTTGTCATTCTCTATACGGAACGAAAAGGAGAGATTGATATAAAATTTAGAGAATCACGCCAGAATCGACACCACTGTGAGCTTATAAACAGGAACTTGGTTGCACACATGTAGTGTTCGAAACTACATACATCTTAATATATATAAATCTCGTGTCACAATGTTTGTCCTCAATGGACTCCTAAACCACTGTACCGATTATAATAAAATTCGCACACCATGTGCAGTTCGATCCAACTTGAGAGATAGGATAGTTTAAATCTCAAATTATAGTCGCAATTTTAATTTATTGCAAATTATTACTTTTGGGCGGTACGAAGTTCGCCGAGTCAGCTAGTAGATTTATAATCTATTAGTGGCCCGCCCTCGCTTCGCTTCGGTGGTAGAGCTGTAGTGTAGATTTAAATGACTCTTCATTAATGTAATTATAAAAAAAACTGAAAATGATATATTTGCCTTTACCAAACTTCTATTGACATCACGTCGCTCAATTGTTTTCCCTTCCCAGAATCTCTCCACTAACATTTGAAATTTATGGTATGGTATTAAAGTTCAAATAGCCTTTTAAGTATTTTAACGAACCGTTTGTATGGGAGTATAAAAAAGTTTTGTTTTTGGACATTTTCAGGCATTTTTTTTATTTTTTCTCTGCGTAAGAACCATCCTCGTACTTCAAGGAATATTCTAAAAAAAGAATTATCGAAATCGGTTCAGCTGTTCTCGAGAATTGCGCTTAGCAACACATTCAGCGGTTCATTTTTATATTATAGATATAAAAAAGGAGCGGCAGATAAGTATATAGTTGCCTGATGAAATCGCCATAGTCTGCGGAGTTAATTATGTAGGCAGCGTCGCCAGGTCCGATTTTATAAAATCGGGAGGCGTTATAGAAAAAAAACAGTAGATGTGTGGAAAGAGCTGCAAGAAAAAACAGTAGGGGCATATTTTTTCTATGTGTATACATATATATTACATTTAAGGTTACTTACATTCATAATGGCGGAAAACGCAACTCAACACGCAATTTCAAAAAGAAAATCGTATTCGAAGAAGAACGGTAGCTTTATGTAAGGAAACAGAAGAACAGGAGATCTCCTGTGAAATCGGGAGTCCTGGCAACACTGATACTAGGGTAGGCAATTGGCCCTTACTCCATCCATACCTTACGCACTAGACGGCCACGATCATGTCCAGTAGTTGTAAGGACAAGATTAATTTAAGGTTCGTAGTTGCGCGACGTTCTTGTAGTTTCTTTATTTAATCTGGTCGGGTCTGGTAGTAGTCCAGGCCATTTATAGCACGTGAGGTGTCTATGATGTGATTATTTGGTGACTCATTCTTTGTTGCACTATCCGTAAAGGGAATGCTCTGCCTGTTCACGTGTTCCCTCTTTTTTACAACCTGGGATCCTTTAAAAGAGGCGTGAAGAAGCAACATGCAGGCCGGCAAGGTGAGGATGTCTGGACTTCACCGTCACTTAACATCAGGTAGGGTGGAGTTATTTGTCGGACCTATCTATAAAATAAATGATGTCGAAGAAAGAAACAGGGTACTCACTGCCAGTGTAGTTTCCTCGCTTGCGGCAGTGTAGATGGATCTTCTTTAAGGCAATATTCCCTGGCACCTCTGATGTAATCCCTTAGGTATGAACTCCAATTTATAATCTGCAACAACATAATAAGTGTACTTCTAGTAGCACATTTCGGCGCATTTGATTTAGAGAGCGGAACAGCTGAGCTGAAAGAAAAAATATTTTACGAATACACATCCATAAATAGAGAAAATCTATTTATGGAGGTGTATTCGTAAAATATTTTTTTATAAACAGGTTAGGTACATAGGTTTGAGCAAAGGACTGACACCACCGGACGTTGCCTGATGGTGGAATCTTTCATTTAAGATAGTTAAATAAAAAATCTACACAATTTATATCACATCATCAAAGCAATATCATTATCACCATCAGTCTATTAATGTCCCCACTGCTGGAGTACAGATCTTCCCTATGGATGCAATAGGGAGATTGGGCCATGACCCACCACGCGGGCCAAGTGCGGATTGATGGGTGCTAACGACTGCAGATGCAGCCGGGACCAACGGCTTAACGTGCCTTCCGAAGCACGGAAGGACTCGAGATAGTAAATTTTTGGTCACCCATCCAATGACCGACCACTGCGAAAGTTGCTTAACTTCAACGATCGCAGCCGAACGCGCTAACCACTTGCGCCATCGAGCTCCTCAAATTATAATATCAGAATTTGTTATATTAAAATTGCGTACTCACTTTGGTATCAGTGAAAAATGTTTTGTCATCCTCTGGACCTATTTTCTGTCTCAGCGCTCTTAGATTATCGTTTTTGAAATGCCACTCTTTTGTCGTGTAGTACTGTAGAACTTCCAAGCCGTAGTTGATTTTTTTCTGCAGTTTGACCATGCTAAAATAAGAAACATATTTAAAAACTGTTACAAATACATTTCGAGTATAATAGATAAATGGTTTTGGCTACAGCTTAGAAGCATGCAATGGACTCTAAAAAGGCTGATTGTAATCTTATTGTCGCTTCCAAGATGTTGAAAGGTTTTTTTAATTTCGTGAATTACATTCCATGCAATAGATTCTAGATCATTCTAGAGCTCCACATCAGAAACATTGCACTAACTGTCTGTAAGAGTTAGTGGAAAGTTTCTGATGTGGAGTGGTGGATTGGGTGGAGACTTTGGAGTTGTATCGTTTCATCACCAGGAAACAGAGAAGAGGAAACTAGATGATCTGATCAGATCTGATCACCGCTAAAACCTAGCAGCAAGATGCACTCCACCACGCTAAACACAGACATAGATGGTCGAACATCGTTAAAGAAAGATTACCTTTCTTGAAGGCGATTCAAAAGTCATCCTCGGCAAAAAGGAATACAACTCATGGAGGTACTTACAAAGGCTTCTTTCCTAGTAGAATCATGATCAGATCCACGAAGTAAGCGGGTAACAGGTGTGTGAAGAACAGCGCCACCTGGTGCTGCAGCCAGGAGGTCTTGGGCGAGCCGCCCGGGTACCACAGGCACACGGAGAACGGGAACTCCTTCACGTGATGACGACCTGGTAATATCATTCAATTTTGTATCATTTTCGTCATCAGCCTATTAATGTCTCCACTGCTGGGGCACAGGCCTTCCCTATGGATGGAATAGGGAGATTGGGCCATGACCCACCACGCGGGCACAGTGCGGGTTGGTATCATTCTTGTATAAAGTAGATAAATTGGAAACATCAATTTGTCGGACTATCAAAATATATGTCAAATTACAGATGCCAAGCAAAGAAATTTAGTGACTCATTTCTTTGTCGTACTATTCGTAAGTGGAATTCTTTGCCCGCGCACGTGTTCCCTCCTTCCTACAATCGGGGTCCTTTAAGAGAGGCGTGAAGAAGCATTTTTGCAGGCCAGCAAGGTGAGAATGGTTGGTATGGCAGTTTATAACTGCTGTACCAGTTATCGTCGCGTTTGGACTTGTCATGGGGGTCATGCCCCCCCCCCCCCCCTGGGCTGGGTCCATCTGTACCCACTTCACAATCTGTATTTCACAATCTGTACCAAGAGAAGACCACCGCATCGCATCAGCCCGAACGGAAAACCGCCCCCGCAGCCCAGAAACACCAACCGGCTGTTTTACCGACGCAGTCGGTAACTTATGCAAAGGCAGCAAGAAATTCCGCGCCTACCTCCATCGCAGCTCAGAAACACACACTGACCGCCGTACCACCCACCACCGCACAGACCGCGCAACCGGCCTCCAGCAGCGCTCCCACATCCCAATGGGTTGGCAAACACCCGCCGATTGTGGTCAAGCAGCTGTAGGACTGGCCGAAGCACTTGCGCGCCATCCACGAGCAAATCGGCCGACCACCCAGCATGCGCCCGTTTGGTACAGGCGTACGCTTTACGCCTCAAAACGACGACGAGGTTCGACTCGTCCTAGCCTACCTCTCCGGACTGGAGGGACAGGCCGGGCTGAGTTGGTACGCCCACCGGCCTCCAGCAGCGCTCCCAGATCCCAATGGGTTGGCAAACACCCGCCGATTGTGGTCAAGCAGCTGCAGGACTGGCCGAAGCACTGGCGCCCCATCCACGAGCAAATCGGCCGACCACCCAGCATGCGCCCGTTTGGTACAGGCGTACGCTTTACGTTTCAAAACGACGACGAGGGTCGACTCGTCCTAGCCTACCTCTCCGGACTGGAGGGACAGGCCGGGCTGAGTTGGTACGCCCACGCCCGCCCCGAAGACCGCAGCCTCAAGGTGGCCATCCGAGGGCTACCTATCAAAACGAAGCCACAAGACATCACCGAGGCCCTCACCGCAAAGGGCTTTGCTGTTGACTACGTCAAGCAGATCCGGGCGCGAGCAGGTCGCCCCGGGTGCTTATACTTTGCTGCACTCGAGCGGACCCCAAACACCATCCCGGCCATATACTCGGTGAGCGAACTCCTGAGTATGACCGGGATCCTCATCGAAGCATGGAGAGGCAGGAAGACCCCTGCGCAGTGCCACCGCTGCCAGGGATTCCGCCACTCCAGCCTTGGTTGTCACCGCCCGCTTGCCTGCGTGCGCTGCGGAGACCCACTCGCTGCCGACGACTGCCTTCGCTCACTTACTGAACCCGCAACATGCACAAACTGCAGGGGCGCGCATCCCCAGCCCCCCCTTGTAGTTCTGTCCTGTAAAGAGGGGGGCGGTGGAGGGAGCTACACGGGCACGCCCAAGTAGCCCTCCGCAGCGGACGGGGGGCGGTACGTTGGGCACTAGGCCGCGTACTCAGCCCCCACGCGCGGGCCATCCTGCGCACGTCTGCGGGGTCCCCGCGATACCCCGGGAGACCCCTGCCGCGAAGCCCCGGCAAGGCCGGGAGGCTGCTAGGTGCGGAGACGCGGAAGAATCCCTAAACGGGGATCCCGCGTCTTCGCGCTAAGCAGCTTAGAGGGTGTTCGCAGGGTTTTTTAGCGGATATTATGCCGTAAAGCGCCCGTAAGGGTTACGGGGTCCTCAGTGGGCAGCCACTGCAATGCTGGGGTTCGTAAGGCTTGCGGGAGCCAGGTGTGAGGTCCGTTCGGCGGTGTGCCTCTTAAAGGCGCCGTCGTCTGTAAATAGTATTTTTTGAGTGCGTATCAAAAAAAAAAGGGGCGCGCACCCCACAAACCACAGCTCGTGCCCGCGATTCACCGCGAGGCACGAAACCGACGTGCTACGACTGTGGCCCGTACAAGCCACCCACCCGCCGCACCACTCCAGCCGCACCAAACGCCGCCGCCGAAAACCCCGTCGAGCGAGCAATGCATCGCCGATGGACACAACTACCGCCGCCCCGCTATCCAAGCAAACCGACGCCACCGCTACGGCTGGGGACACACCGCCGCCCACACCACCTACGCTCTCGGACCTGCTCGCGGACTTTGTCAAAAAGTTCGGGCAGGTCGAGAAGAAAAGTTCGCCATCTACCCCCACTGAAGACACCACCCCCGCCCGCTGAAGTCCGTCGCCCGCTCGCTGGTCGCTCACTGGGCCTCCCCCATGGGTCTCACCTACGGTTGCCAGATTGGCTGGACTTGGCTGGATTGTCCAGCTATTTTACACGTTGTCCAATGTCCCGGTTTTAGGCAAAATGTCCAGCTAAAATTAAAAACCACCAGTATTAGTGGTTTTTCCACCGAGTTGGCAACACTGGCTCCGCTGCGGTCTCTCGCTATCTATGCCCGGCACTTTCCCGCCCATCCGACCCGCCCTCGAAGCCCTCCCGCCCGCCGCCGAAATATATGTGGCAGAAAAAGTGATTTCATATTAATTTTGTTTGATAAAGGATCCTCTGTTTTGTAATAGTAAAAAAAAAAATATGATAATGCTGATTAATGTATGTGGCAAAAAAGTTATTTCATATTAATTTTGTTTAATTAACGTTCCTCTGTTTTGTAATAATAAGAATTTTTTTTAGTCATGCTGATTTTTTTGTCCAGCCAAAAATTCTAATGTCCAGATATTTTATAATATTGTCCAGAAATTTTGATTTCTCCATATGGCAGCCCTAGTCTCACCCGGTGGGCTTAACCGCGCCAAGGGAGACGTGTGAAGAAGCGAAGAGGGGGGGGAGGGTATCTCGACCCACACCACCGTCCCGTTTGTTAACGAGATGCGAACCCGAAGCATCCACAGTGGCGGCCGCAAGAAATTTTTCGCGTCGTCTAACTTCAGCCTAAACCTGGCTGGATATACTACGACCGCAAAAGTTTGATCGTTGACTGTATGTTAGTTTTTACAACCGTTTTAATTGTTATTGTTGTAAGTACCTACCTATCTAGTTATTAACTATCGTTGCGTCAACTAATATTTTTGATATTACCTTTTAGCCATAAATAAAAGCTTGTGAGGCAAAGTGAATATGCTTATTACATTTTAATTGGTGATTTGTCCGGACTTTTAAAGTATCATCTTTAAAAAATTGTAGGCCGTCAAGGTACAAGTTTACTAAATAAGTAGGCATTAAAAGGTGTACTCTAGGGCTGGGAGGACCCCCCCCCCCCCTCGCTTTCAGTCCTAACTTGAATTTTCGCAAAAAAATTATAATGAGATTTTTTTTTAATTACTAAATGTCTTAACTTTTTTGTCTTAAACTTTTTTTTTGTACCTCTTACTGTCTATCAATTATCTCTTATCTATTAGACAAGTCCGTCCGTCCGTCTGTGGTGCTGTTTCAGCGGCCAAACCGTAAGAGATAGATAAAGAGAATGTTTAAGTTATAAGTTAAGAATAGTCTGATAAGACTACAAACCGGATTTGAGTAACGTAGCACTTCCGGTTTTCGAGAAATCACGAAACCACACAAAATCTCCGAAGTTCTCAATTAATTAAATACATTTTTTTTTTCAATCAGGTTTTGGTGAACATTTGGTTCAATGGTTTGCTAGTTGTTGTATAATTAAACATTTTGTTGTTATTTTTTCTTTTTAAAACGTTTAAAATGCCATTAATTGTTGTACGAAGTACAGTGCATTCAACTCACATCATAGCGCGCGGTCATCAGTTTACTTATTGACCTAGTTTATTTTGTGCAATAATCTACTATATAAAAATAAGTCGGGTTTTCCTTCCTGACGCTATAACTCCAGAACGCACGGACCGATTTCCACGGTTTTGCATTCGTTGGAAATGTCTCGGGCTCCGTGAGGTTTATAGCAAAGAAAATTCAGGAAAAATAAAAAAAAAAACTTCTTTTAATCACCAAACGAAATGTTACATAAAACGAAGCTGTGCATAAAAGGTGGTGAAACGGAGTTCGCCGGGTTTGCTAGTTTTAATTATAATTTATTTAAGTTAGTACACATTCGAACACCATTCAAACCGAGTGTACTCATACCATTACCATTTACCATTTTTTTACCAGTTTTAATATATTGCGAAATTTATTCTACTCTTTTTATTTTACATTAATTTGTGGGACTTACACCCTACAATTGTTAAAAAAAAGTATGAAAGTAGTTCGTCATTAAATTTCCTACAACTTTTGCATAAATCTTTTTTTACAATAAATTTTTAAAGTTATGAGTCGTTAACGTAGCAATGACGCAGTATATCAGAGTTTTGTACACGTGCAATTGATTCTCATCACTTATATTATAGATAATACTAGCAAACCAGTGAACCAAATGTTCACCAAAAAAAAAATGTATTTAATTAATTGAGAACTTCGGAGATTTTGTGTGGTTTCGTTTGAAATAGAAATCACGTGATTTCTCGAAAACCGGAAGTGCTACGTTGCTCACATCCGGTTTGTAGTCTTATCAGACTATTCTTAACTTATAACTTAAACATTCTCTATATCTATCTCTTACGGTTTGGCCGCTGAAACAGCACCATGGACGGACGGACGGACGGACGGACTTGTCTAGTAGATAAAAGATGCTATAGTATTTATATTTTTTCCCCTATTTTTTTTGCAATTAATCGATAAAAATCCAACAGACAGCATCATCGGCTTATATTTGAAAGTAAGTAAATTCGGATACTTCTGAAACTTCAATTCAATGCCCGTTTTTGCGCTACATTAACGA